TTATTTTATTTTACCACTTGAATTCATTACACTTCACTTCACATCTTCATTCTTATCGTAATCATACTCCTAATTTTTAAAATTTTTAGACAACGCTTGACATTAAAAAATATATATAATATGTATGTATTTATATGTAATATAAATACGACTGTACAGCTTGAAAATGAAGTTGTTGAAAAGAAATTTCTTCCCTGAACAAAAAAAAAACGGTGTTTTACTACTGTCGAAGTTTCTAGAGTCAGGTGAATCCTTTAATTCATATATATATATTCAAATATTTAGCTCACATCTTGGAGGAAGAGAAGATGGGAGAATTACCAAAAATATACAAAGTTCTTAATATTCAACTGTATAACCAACAAAATATACAGAAGATGGATGATCACAAAAATAAAATGCTACCCATCCATCACAATCAAAGGAAGTGTATGATGAAGGCTTCGTTAAAGTATGATAGGAGGATAGGTGTCATTTAACCTTATAAAACTCTTTCATTGAAAAACTAGTAATAAATGGTTTTCAAATGTTAGTTTGTAAGGAGTTAACTTAATTGACACCAAGTTTGATCACGGACTGATATCAGTTAGACAAACACTGAAAACCATGGGGTATACCAGACAGCTACTTTGTTCTAGTCTGAGACTTTTCATCAGTACACGACTATGACCCCACCGTGGGATCAAAAGCAGGACATACAGGTTACAAGGCGAGTTCGTTGATCACTCAACCAACTCAATGACCCATTAATGTCGATTCGCAATTTTCAGCGCCACCTCCAGCTAATGTCAGAGTCGAGTATTTGTCCCCATATCTGACCTAGTGTATTGTTCTAGTAACATGCTTAGCGGAAGTAATAAAATATTTACTTTCTGTTCAACAGTTTCCACAAGTATATGATACTGTTTCGGAGAAACCACCAAGACATTGCATGTCAAGAAAACTGAGTTCTAACACAAATTTTTGTAGCATATTTCTTGATAACATTATTTTCATATACCATAAGTATGAGAATAAAGTATATCTAGGAAAATTACTCAACATTATATTAACCTTACATGTCTATAGGGAAACAGTAACCAATTGATGTTGCACGACTAGCTCCTGGGTCGGAGAGATGCTGAAATTAGGCGAATACTCAGAACAAAGAGCACTTCCGTTTCTACAGCTTATTTCCCAACTATTACCGGAATGAACTGATAAAATAATTGAGTTCAGTGCAAGTGTACATTAAGTATATTTAATTGAATTTTACATTTTCCCGTCGATTGATTGGACCAGAGTGCTCGATCTCAGGTTGACGTGTCAGCTTCTTGTGCAGATGCTTCGACGATGTCTGGGCATTTAATTAGAATTTATTTGGTGGGTGGTGACTAGCATTGGAATGCAGGATGAGCATTTCGTCCTAATTGAGGCTCGTCATCTGGATGTACCCGCTAGTCACTATCCACCAATTAAGTTCCAATTAAATGCTCAGAAATCATCGAAGTATCTTCACAAGAAGCAGACATGTAAACCTGAGACCGAACATTTCGGTCCAATCAATCGTCGGGAAAATCTAAAACTAAATTAAATTAACATGACCCGTTGCACAAGAGGTGGCTTTCGTGGCACTGGGTTCAAACCTCGGTGAGAACATCATCACTCACTAGGAAACGCAGGTACATCCAGATGACGAGTCTCAAATGGGACGAAATGCGCATCACGGATTCCACTGCTAGTCACCATCCACCAATTTAGTACATTAAGTAGGATTGAAGTATAAAAATACTGACTAGCACACCTGTTGAAAATGTATAAACACTAGATTGTTCCAACAGATGAAGCCCACACTTAACCATTTTCCATAGAAGGTCATTTATATGACGTAACAAAAAAAGAAAGAAGTATTATAATTCAAGACCACCCACTGTTGAGAAAACATAATAAAGGCTTTACCAGAAACCTCAACAGTGTATACCAGTTTATGCATATATGTGAACAAACATAAAGAGGAAGGAGCAATTCTGCTGTTCAGGTAAAGACTGAGAAACAAGCGCTGAAACAGCTTGAGGAGCAATCGTGTTACCAAATTTCGATAAGCACAGGTGGTAGAATATATTATAGAAATGTACAGATTAGTATCAAAACAGTTCAGATTCACGGAAAGGATGCGTAAATGAATGTGAACATTGAACGTTGGTTCATTAACCTCGGTTGCCATTGGCGGGCAACTCGAAGGCGCGAATGATTCAATCGTGTACAAGTTGGAAGAAGATGAAAGAATACGAATAAAAACTTTGTACCGATACCGAATTTAACTGCCGAAGAATACAATGTCTTATTGATCCTTGTGTTTTGGAGTTAAAGTCGATAATCGTTCATAGTAATTGTCGATTCAGAGTGTCTTCGCAAATAATAGGAACTTAGGGTTAAGTTCCTAGACAGGATTTCTATTCTTAAATCTAAGTAGTTTTCGTGTGCAACACCTATTCGGCATTATAATTAACTTATCTTGGGAAATTTTATCTAATTCTATCGTATCAAGAACTTTTTCTTCTAATAACACTATCGAAATTTATTACAGAAACCACTAGATCTTAAGTATTGACATCAGCTTGATGTTTCCGTTTATCAGGAATTATGTTATGCACCTTTTCTATGTGATCAGATTTACGCATTTTCCTTTATGAAAATAATAGAAATGACAATGCTGCTGTCTTCCTGAAGTCAATTTAAAGGTCTCCTGAATTCTTTGATAATAAACGACCTTTTATTAGGAGGAATTTACATCGGATGAGCAGCATCACCCACCTTTGATCTCAACCTGCTTTCGCTGCCAAATGATTTAGCATGAAAACCCATAAATGATTCAAAAAAAATTCTTGAATTAACACTCAATCCAAATTTCTCTTACTCTTTCGTGGGAACACAAAATTGTCGATGGTATTTTCATTACTCGTAAAAGCTCACCAGAAACAGAAGTACGATTGATTAATTTTCACCTCATGCAATCCTAATCTTGACTTTACAATAGAACATGAGGAAAACGATACTATTATACTCCTAGACGTTTTCCAGGTGAGGAGGACTGATAACTCAGTAGAAAGATCAATATTTATAAAGCCCCCATAAACAGGATAGTATGTACACTTTAAGACCTTTGTTCTCAACCAGTATAAAAGGAACCTACTCAAAAAATTCCTTATTGGAGCACGGAAACTCTGTTCTGAAAGCACAATTTAGCATGAAATAAAGAGCCAATAAAAACTGTGGAAACCATCCCGAAGATATCCATAAATATTAGTATACACTTCAAAAGATACGAAGTACAAAATTCTTCAAGCAAAGACTATATAAGAATGGCTATAAAAATTCCTTGAAACCTCTAAGAGAGTACTCCAAAAATCTGGGAAAGATTAGTCACTGCTCTTTGACACTTTTGACTGTGTATATCAGATGGAGTGTATTTATGGAAGCAAACAGACAGGTTGACTGTCTGCTCACATAATCGTGCATTCACCCAAGTGGTTGCGTCCTTGGCTCAGTGGTAGAACACTTAACAACCAAGCACATGGTCCGGGGTTCAAACTTCGGCCGACTCACTCCTAAACCCTGCCTAGCCGGTAGTAAAAGCCCGGTAAAGAGAGAAGGTTGAGCACGAGACTAGCAGCTTCAACCGGTAAAAATGACATCATTGCAACTTCAAACCTGAAGCTTGGAGCCCTATGCTCCACTGGGAACAAAAAGATATAAAATAATATTGATAAATTAGAAAAAAATTGGTGCTTATTTTAAATTCAGAGCTTTGATTAGTCGAGCTCGGTCTCAAGGTAAATGTCGTCATGAGCCGATATCGATTAAAAAACCATTGAAAATCAAAGAACACTGACGAGCTGTCTCGTTACTACTACAGACTCTTCAACAACCACCCAGAATCTTACAAAGAGCAGCAACCAGAGGCTTGAAGGTGCAAGGTGAACGGGTTTACACCATTCAGCCATTGCACTGGAATCCAGTCGTCTACGAATAACAAATTCTGTCTCGTCAGATAGAACCACTGTGAATCAGTTGCGTTAGTGCATCGGTGGCAGTTAGGACGCTCGCCGACCATGCACATGGTCCGAGGTTCGATCCCCGGCCGACGCACACCCGATATCAATGGTTGACCTGATCACTTTGGGCTACTGATATCACATGCTGAAAATTCCATAATTGTATAAAAAGTACTTTGTGGAGCCAAGCTACTATAAAATAAATAAATAAATTATGGTCACACTCAAGCTGTTAAACGACATCGGTCACAGCTTCTCATAAACAGAAGAGTAGAATTTCAGTGATGCTAATCGTCACTTCGGTCAACAGCACTCAGCATCAAAAATAAGATCCAGATTATCAGCTCCAATGTGAAGTTAGTGCTACTATACGTATCAGAGACTTGGCGCGTCGTAAAGAGTATCTCAAACAAACCTTCATTAACAGCTGTCTTCACTCAATACTCAAGATCAGATGGCCAGAAAAGATCAGCAGTAGCGAGGGATCTCTGGGAGCAAACCAACCAGGAACCGATTGTGAAACAAATAGGCAGGAAGAAATGGAGACAGATTGACCATACTCTGAGGAAACCAGCAGGTGACATCACTAGACAAGCCATCGTTCGAGTGGAACCCGAAAGGGAAGTGGCGAGTTGGCCGTCATTTCGAGTGTGACATGGAGGAGGTCATGTGAAGAGGAGATGAAAGTATGTGGGCAGACTTGGAGCCAGGTGAAAACTCTAGAAGAGAACCGAACGCCACGGAGACGTGAGGCTGAAGCCCTATGTTCCTCTAGAAATTAAAGAAAATAATAATAATCACTTCCCTTAGATTGTTTAAAAACTGAATATTCCAATGATTGTAAACTGCATAGAAGTTACTTGAGAAATCAGTTCCCTATATAAACGTTTCTAATATTCTTTTTCAAGAATACAGTTATTATGTGCAGTCAAAATGAATAAAACACAAGACTAATGAATTATCTTTACAAACATTGTTTTTATTAATATTATCACCAGAATAACAAATTTTTGAAGAATAAAGAAAGATTTAGTATAAAAAACTGAAAAGGGAATAAAAAGTGACTCAAATAAGCTACGCATATGTGTGAATATGTACTAAAGAGATACAAATTCAATCAGTGATCACGATGAAGACGACAACATTGAGGAGAAGGATGATAGTAACAATTATCATAATAATAATGAAGATTTGTAGCTCAGGCGGATGATAGAAGTATGCACTGAAGAAGTTGTCAAGATGAACAATGAAAGCTTAACAAATAAACTAGTCAGTTTAGACAACTGAACCACATCAAAAAGTTATTAACAGTAGAGATTATCTAATTCAATTTAGATTTTCCTCTCGATTGATTGGACCAAAGTGCTCCGTCTTAGGTTGGAATGTCAGTTCCTTGTACAGATGCTCCAATGATATTTGGTCATGTAACTTGAAGTCAGCTGGTTGATGGTAACTAGCAGTGGAATCCAGAGTGCGCATTTCGTCCTATTTGGGACTGACTCGTCATCTGGAGGTCCAGTCAACTGACGCGAAAATCTTAATTGAACTGTAGAATTAATAAGACCCGTTGCATAAGAGGTGGCTCTCGTGGCCCAAATAATCTAATTGATAACACTTTGGAGTCTGAGACTATGGGCACTGGGTCCGAGTGCGCTTTGTCTTGGATTCCACCGCTAGTCCAACCAACCAACCAACTGACTTCGTGTACAGATTATCAACAAAAATAATTTAACGACTTCATCATAATTATAGAAACACGGGGATATATATATATATATATATATCGTCGAAGGTTCGAACGCCGACCAATGAATCAACGTCGCAAATATTAATAAAGCAGAGTTCAATCAATTCATCAATGTTCGATACAACTCCTCAGTTGACTACAGTGTCAAGTATACCATGAGAAATATATAAGTAGATATATTATGAATAAATAATACTACGATGAACGAACCACAGCAAAATCAGAGACGAAAATGTTTACAGGTCATGTGCTGATAGACGAGGATGGAAGGTGTATTAGAAATCGAAAATTGAGATTGTAATGGATTATATGGTTCGATGATATCGGTATAATAGACGATTAGTTATCAGAGAGAAGTATTGTACACACTCAACAGACATAAGCGAAATCAACTGACATATAAGCTTAAATATTTAGAGTTTATTTCAAAAAATATATATATCTAGACCTTCATTAGGCAAGACGTCAACGACATTATACAGATTAGAGTAATCAAATTTGTCAAATGTGTCAGACAAAACGAGAGAAAGCTATAAATTCTTTGGATGCAAGATAACCGCAACAAAAAAAAAGGAAACGTAAATAGGATGTTCATAATAAAAGCCATAAAATATACCATGGCTAAGAAAGGAAGTAAAGAACTCTGTATCCGAATGACAAACAATCTTAATTGTGATAATAAAAAAGCTCATGATATGTTAGTGAACTTTGTTTGATGCAGGAATATAAATATGTGTAGAAAAAAAAGTTGATCAGATAGCTTTAGCTGACAAGCAGAAAATACAAATTGTAGCATACATAATTCATTGTTTGTCTGGTTATATATTGATTAATTGATTGATTGATTGATTGACTGATTGATTGACTTACTTTGAAACATTAAGAAATGCTTTGATTTGATCATAACATGCATATGACACACTAACAGCAGGAAGTACTTTCAAAATATTCGGTCCTAATCCCCTGAATAAACCTGATACACCTTCATGTTCTACAATATTCTTCACAACTTTGACTAATCCACTCTGTAAAAAAGAAGATAGAAGTTCCGTTAGTGAAGGGAAGAAAAGCAAAATATAATATCAGTAGGATGCATGGCGTGATGATTGAATATGCAATAAAATGTAAGAGACAATAAGATTTCTAACAATGACCCTCTCATGTTACTATCTTGACATTCAACTAAATAAGTGTTGGCGCCTAAGCTTCAAACAAGTAGCTGTATAGTAAGTTACTTTAATACTCGCAGGTTCTAGGATCCACTGACGATTAATTCATAATAATAATAATAATAATAATCTACTTTATTCCAAAAAGAGCACTTATAGTACAGAATGGAATTCTCAGCATTTGTCACAATATTGCATCTGATTTACTTAAAATATTAATAAAATTAAAACAAAAGTAACTAGAAGGATTTGTCAACGTTTACGATATAAAGTCAAAAATATTCGAAGCACAAATTGAGAGTATTAAATATAATAATGGTAACAATAATAACAGTGAGTTTGTTTCAAACATTATTGGTGATTCAGTTTGAGAATCTTACCATGTTATCGATTATCGAATCTAATGTTGTGAGGGTGGAGGAAGTGGTTTATTTAGCAGTGCAAAGAAGGTTAGTTAGTTCATGTCTGACACTATTTCCACCACATAAAATACGTGCCAAATATGGTATGGTGGAATTTTTATACTTAGACGTACGTGCAAAAAGTCTTTTGAAAAGACTTCTTGTTTCACCTGAAGAGACACAAGGATGGAGCTGCCAGTAGAGTGGGTGTTCAGAGTTTGACAAAATTCCTTTGGCAAATTTGTTGCATGACATCAAATGCCTCTCAGTGACAATGTCAACGATATGGCCCAACGGCATACCACTCGTCATACTGACAGTCTTCTGGGTTCTACGAAGTATTACATAGTCTTTTTTAAGCAATCCAGGAAAGAATAAGGGTGAACAGTAAAGAAAAATAGGTAAAATACACGAGTTGACAAACTTTAAAAGGAGTGGTTGGATTATGCCTGAGTGCCTCAACTTCTTAATGCAAAAAGTCAGACGAAATATTCTTTTAGAAATCGCTAAGACATGGGAAGACCAGGAGAGGTCAGAAGAAGAAAGAATTAATCCAAGATACTTAACTTCAGACTTGATTCCTATATCAGTATCATCAGCTTTGCAAGGGTCACAGGAACCAACGGCTTCATTTAACTTTCGTTTACATCGTAAACTGATTGTACAATACTGCAGAACCCCAGAACTGAAACGAAATAGCTAGCTATCCAGTAATCTTTGATTTCTACCGACCAACTGAAAAATGCTTTTATATCGATAATTTTTCTACAAGCCATTCATTCAACTCAAGAAAACTGTAAGTCGCTAGTTGGCGACCAATTTTCACAATAAGTTCCAATTGCAGGCCAGGATGTATGAAGCCTAAGAAGCTAAAGAAAAAACGGAGTCCTGCAAATCAATTAATTCTGCACGGCTTTAAGTGATAAACATGACAAGGTTAGTTCAACAATCACCAAAGTTAAGGTTATTTACACATAATAGAACCAACTGGATAAAACGCGAACAAACCTTATCTGAAGCTGTTTGAGCCTGAAGTTTTGTACGCACCAACGCCAAAGGATAAGTACCCAATTGACCGCATAAAGATGAAAGAGCACCAGCTCCAACAGATACATAGACTGGTGGGGGTGAATTGGCAGATTTTTCATCTTTTGATATAACAAGCTTTGCGTACGTTTGTTTGAATGTTTCAAACAAAGCTAATTCTATTCCAGCATATGGTAAAATACCCAGTATATTAGGCACATAACCTCGATAAAATATACCAATGCCGTTACTTTGATACAGCTTTCGAGCACAATCAAATATCGACGAGTACTGTCCAGTTTTTCGTAAACACATTCGTGTTTTTAGTACCTATAAAGAGGTCAGTAGAATACCGAATAAACACATTAAGCTTATTAAAATTTTATCATCATTATTATTAAAATACAAACTTGATGCATTATGGGTATCAAAAGATGCTGCACACAAAAACTATAGAATAACAGCGAATTGTTGTTTATGCAAAGTCTGGGACACTGTGTAGGCGCCCATACCGAGGCAGGTGGTTGTCTTAGGGGATCAATCAATCCCAGAGCTTTTGACTAGAAGTCTGATCCGTAAGACAGTGGAGTAGCGTCAACAGCTGCATTGCCAAAGCTGTCAGTAACTAAAACACGTTCATATGCCATTCGATCAGTACGGATTCTGGCGCCCATGTACACCATAGATTTGGAACTAGGGTTTTCCAACTCCTCTAGTTAGACTGCTACGTCCACTGGTCCGGTTGTAAGCTTCAGACATTTGCATTCGCCATTTCACTTTTGTGACGAACACAGAGTGTCGCGTGAAGTAGGTGGATAGGAGTTACCTGACCAAATGAGAGCATTGCGGGAGAAAGTTTATCCGCCCTCTGCTACACTAGGTCGTTTGCGGAGCATTGAAATCTTGCTTAAATAATACTAATGGTGAGCTAATCATTAACAAATATATATTATCAAGCACACCTCCACCAGTGTTACCACATCAAAATTGATTATTTAGACGCCAAATTTCCCAACAGTTAATTTCAGAACACAAATTGAAATTGAGAAAAAGTAATCTAAGTGTTACTACCATTTGGAAAAGAATATGATGAGTAAAAAGTGGTCATTAAGTAACTTGATTACATGGTTTGCCGGAGTTAAAGTATTGATTTCAAACCAAATAATGAGCGTGATGAAAATGTTAAGCGTTTGAAGAGAATAAATGGTATATAAATAAGTACTTATTGCTGGAAATTATGAGAATGCCAATATTGATGCTTCTCTTCTCTTCTTCGTGAAATAAGCGCAGTGCAAGGCAGAAATCCACTGGATGACATTCAAATGACAATAGTACAGACTGTCACATATCATCTGAAAATTATGCAACAGAAAAACTAATGGTCGATTATTGGTTTTGTAGGGATTTAGTTTCATTGGATGAAGGATTTCATCATGAGCTGACATCAGTTAGAGAACCACTGGACAGCTATTTCGTCCTAGTTTTGGACTCTTCATTAGTACGCACCCAACGAAAGGGTTCAAACCCAGGACTTTTTGGTTATAGGGCGGGCTCGTAGAAAAAGTAATGATCAATTGATATGAAGCATCAAAGGAAATAAATTTATATTTTCATGGGTGATTCGAACTAAAATAATAAATTTCAAAGAAATATTCATCAGTTCTCATAGGCACGAGAACACCACTTCGATTCACCAGCCTAATTTATTGAAAATTCGAATATAACTTATAGAAACTAACTCAAAAGTAAAGGTAGCATTAAAATTAAACATACTTCCATAGGGTAAATAATAGTTTGAGAAGTTGCACCAGCCAATGCACCAGATAAAAATTTCGTATGTAATTTCAAACTTCCATCTGGACTACTGCCTAAACTTTCATTAAGCCAATGTTTGTACATTTCATAGGCTTGAAACTTAATTCCTGACTCTGGAGCAATTTTCAAACAGTTAACACCATTTCCACGCCAAAGTGATGTGATACCACCTTCTTTAACCATTTTATTGACTGTACCGAAAAGTCCTACTTCAGAAGCTTTACTTCCAAGTGCCTGCCATGTCAGCTTAATTCGATCTAAGGGAGCTGTAACAGTCCTAGAGATGCAACCAGCAATACCTACAATGTAGAAATAAATAAATAAAAAAGTTAAAATCCTCCGAAATCATAAACGGGCAAATAATCTAAACGTTCTAATAAGCGGTATTTTGTATGGGATTTTCATTACTAATAGAGAAGCAACTTTGAAATATATGACAGCAACTATTATGAGACATCATAAGGATTAATTAACTCATGAAAATAAAGTAATCCTTACACTCCTCAATACCTAGACATTAACACAAGACATCCAGTGTTTTATTATCATACGCCTTGTCAGACTTATTGTGAAATTGACCCATAGGATAGAATAGGCAATCAAGATTTGACGAATACTTCAGTTACATTTTTCTGATATTCAGAACACTTAGGAGAATTTTTGCCTTCCTGTTGACGGTTGATAAGCAACAAAAGTCGATAGAAAATGTTAATAACTAACTCTACCTTGAAACAGGTCAATACTTTCTGATTGAATTCACATAATCACAAGAACCTAGAGTCAGAGACCAAGCTATATGACTTTGTATCTGTCTGTCTGTTTTCGACATAGAACTTTGCACCGATGTGCGGCAGTTCAAGTCGCCACACTCCATGTAGCACACAAAGCAAGAGAAGAAAGTAGAAATGCATAATAGAGACAGTAAACAGAGGTGTGAGACAAAGGAATAATAATAACGAAGAACAATATAGTTTCTTTGGAAATCATAAGTCGCAGGGAGTGGATGCGTCTGCGCCCATCAATTGAGAACGATTTTGAGCCATATCACCAATTGTTTCCAGCCATTGGGTTTTACGGTGCCAAGGACCCCAACCAGGAAGTCTGGGCCTTCCTATGTGGCTTAAACTAACTGTTGTAGATTTCATTGACTGGTGCCATGTTTTGGTTTCCAACCTGACCCTATATCCCCTGACATTGCTCGTTGGGGAAGGCGATGACTAGGTATACGTAACACATGTCCTAACCATCTCAGTCGACGTAACTTTACAACCTCGTCGATTGATTTCCTCTCCTCACCTAGAACTCGACGCCTAACCTCAATATTGCTAACCTTATTATACCACTTCACACGGGAAATAGAACGCAGGCACCTTTGATCAAAGATAGCTAATCTTTTCATGTCCTCCACTCTCAATGGCCAGGTCTCACAGCCATAAAGGAGGACGGAGCGGACTGATGATCAGTACACCCGCTCTTTGGTCAATAGTCGGATATTTCGTCTACGCGAGAGACAAAGTGAACTGGCATATATGCGTAACTAGCCCTCTGTATCCGTGCTGAGATTTCGTCAGAGATCAACCCGTTGGGGCTGATGGTACTTCCCAAATAAATGAAGCGGTCAACGTGCTCTACCACTTCACTTCCTATTTCTAATCTAGGAGTCGATGTAGTCCAGTCCTGTAACGTCATCTTGCATTTGGCGGGAGTGACTCTGAATCCATAGTAGTGACTCAAATGTATTAATGTGTTATCTTTTGCAAGGATGGGACAAATGTGCCAAAGCTTACATTAGACTAAATCCATCAATTATGCACAGTTTCCTAAGTTATGCATAGTGTTATTACTGATATGATGACTGTAACAACCGAGACAAGAAATAAACTCATAACTGAATGCCTAACCGTTCAATTGCAGCTAAATAGAGAGGATACAAGCAACTGAACAAAACAATAATAAAAATGATGAACTGAACACAGTATTTCTACCAATTACACGAAGACCCACACTATACATACATGATTTAATGATACTATCCTGTCGCTCAGGACAAAGTAGGTTACATTCAAATCAGTTAAAGCTTAGTTAGCCTTGTGGGCATAACTGGTTTTAAAGCAGATTTCGTCACGAAACAATGCAAGTTACGAAACTGTTGAAAAACAAGTAGCATGTGAAGGCTGTTTTGTTCTATTATGTGACTCTTGAATAGTGTACATCCACGACAATAACAAAAATTGAGCAAAAAAACTTACGGATTACGAGGTGACCACAATTACTATCCACCAATGGAAGTGAATGAGGGTGGAGTTATATCACGAATTGACAAGAGTTATAATCCACACGTTGCCGGATTCCATCCCAGTGACTAGGTGGTGAACGTGCTCGCTTGGTAATCTGAAGAACCGACGTACTATACTTGATTGGTGATGAGTCCCCAATCAGAACAAAGTAACTTTCCAGTACTCCACAGTTTTAAGTGATACTTAGAATAACGTTTGTTCGTGACCAAAAGTATGCCGTAAGGAATTAATTGCTTGCGCTGATCAGCCACACGCACACACACACACATTAGCATTTACTGTTAAGTAGGCATTGACATGTTTCATTCAAGCTCCACTAAAACACTACAATTTATGGAGGTGGACTAACCTCTGAATATTCTCGATGACATTTTAAGAAAATGTCACAGCTACTTCTAATCAGTTGCATATAAACTTCAATTGTGTTATGCCAAGCGTGCTAAAACTTTTAATGCTTAAAGTCAGCTAACTAGTTCAAAGCAAAAAAACATTGTGGTATCAGACAGTACAGACTGAAGATCCTCCCCTTGAATCACAGATTTATAACACCAATAAGCTATTCTATTGGAATTGTACAGATGTCATCAAAATTTAGGAGAGATTAAGGAATCATGTGTGCATCGCTGGTACGGCGGTTAGGATGCTCGTCAACCATGCACATGGTCCGGGGTTCGACTCTCGGCTGATGCACTCCTTTACCTCACTAAGCCAGTAATGAAGCTGGTAAAGAGAAAAGGTTGGGAATGAGACTAGCAACCCCATCGTGTAAAAATAAACACTGCTACAGAAACTTCAAGTCTCTAGCTTGAAGCCCTATGTTCCACTGGGAACGTGAAGGAATAAAACAAAGGAATGATGTAACCTTGGACGAGAGCGAGGACAAACATCTTAATCACCTATTTCCGTTAAAATCTCCCGTGCTAAAAGCATCAATATAATGTGCGAAAGTATTGACATGCTACAAACAACAAAAACCAATAATCCTATTCGATATACTGACTTCAATAAACACAACTTTTAATATCGAATATGTATCATGCTGTTCAAATAACTCACAAACAGAAGGTACGATAAATGAGCTTAACATATGAAGCAAAAGGGGCCAACTCAAGCAAAGACAGATTATCTTAAATTGCGCGGAAATTACGCAATAACACATTAACCTACTGTTTATGACATGATTAGTGAAACTTATACTTTAGTGACTTTGAAGTAAAATAAATATAGCCTGAGTGATCCACTTCCACCTTGCAATAGACGTTCTTGAAACATCTCCCAAAGTGTGTCTACTTGTGTTGACCTGTAATCTCGAAAAAGACTATTTACCCTTGCTTTGTCAAACAATATCATCTTACCATGCAACAATGTATATGGGTTACATATATTGTGATCAATCATTTGTCAATCAATTCCTACAACTACGTAGTGTCTTTAACACCGTCCAAGTGTAAATTACTTTTTCATGAATGATATGAATTTGCATCTGAACTCACCATAATAGTTGCACAGTTAGAAAAAATCACAAAACTCATGCACCTAAGTAATTATGCGGATGTCAGCGTGACGAATGAAGTTTGAGGTTGTATATCTAAGACCATAGTGGTGTGTCAATATTGCCCAACTTTGGTATACTGGAAATATAAGTTTGGTCGTCAAAGGATAGGTTGATAACACCCCAGTTGTCTTATATGCCCGCGAAAACTTGCCTCTTCGATTGGCTGTACGACCGGTTTCGGTGATCTATGTGTTTCACTAGTCTAAACACAGCACTCAATATCTCCTGGTAAAACCGAATGGAGGCCAATACGGGTAACACATAAGTGCCGCTATTGGATACAGGATAGTTGTATTGAGGTTAGTGTCTGATAGCGACTCATCAATTATATATGATTTGCAATCGAAACCAGTGACGACCATGGGTAGTTTTCTTGGCTCTTTTACTACCAGAAACATAGGTATCAAACTCTTTATTGGATGCATCTGAAGACAACACTAACTTGCTCATTACTGTATTCCTAAGCTTTTTCCCTCTATATTGTGGTCACATTACTTTGTGTGACGTTTCGCCTTATAGCCAAGCTGTACAATGTTTGTGTTTAAGCATATTGGGATAAATAATGAATTGCAAGGTAAAATTGAACAGTAAAGGAAAGACAGATTTTTGGTTTACAGTACTAACCTCCAGAGACTAATGTTTTCCATGCATCCCCAGATTTTTTTTCCTCTTCTGTAAAATCATCTGGAACACACATGTTTTCACCAATATCTATAGCTGTTGTATGCCTCCAATACCGAAAAATCTCATCAATCTTTGAAGTTCCACTAAATAATAAAAAATCCCTCCATTCCTTATAATCAATATCCAGTGATCCATCTTTATCCATACGCTTCAGTAACTTTTTTGCATCAGCCTCATTCACATTAACACCAAGTCTTTTCATAGCCGACTGAATTTCACCAACATCTATACGTTCATCATTGTTTTGATCAATTTCTTTGAATGCCAATTTTAAATGAGTTTCAGCATCTTGTATGTAAGAAAGAAATTCTTGAAAAGTTAATGTTTCATCATTATCTGAATCTCCTTTGGTTATAATTTTTTTAGCTGTTTTGCTTTGAGTATTCGGTTCATCCTTGTTTCCTTTTATAACACGACTAAGTTCGGTAACACTAATTCGACCATCCTTGTCTACATCCAATTCACTAAATAGTTTCCCAATACGATCTCGATCAGAATTAGATAGAACAGGCATTGTTGATAGTCTCCACTAACTTTCAATGTGAACTTTATTCAAGAATAAATACAATATGAAAAGAAAATATGATCACTAATTTCTAAAAAAAAATTTAATGAGAATTAGAAGAACTCTGTACAACTTTTATTATCAATGGAAAATCTGTTGAAATGCGTAAAATCCCTAGTATTATGCGAATGATAACATACTAAGTACATATAAGCTACCACGCAATAATATGCACTACAGAATAAATTAAAGATTTTGATGTGGTTTTGTTCTCAAAATCATCCACCTGAGCTACAAATCTTCTCTATCATATCTAAATTAAAGATTTAATATGCACTCTACAAATCAGCTATAACTTGTAAGGACAGTGTACTACAACCGACTAATAAGATGTGACTTACAAATACAGAACTAGTTATTGGTGGATTATTTCTACTTAAGAACTACTAATTAAAAGCAAAACACATTTAGTGAGATTGGACATTGAGAATAGTAGGCCTGTAGTATAGAATTCTCAATCCTTTTACCAGAGAGAGTGAACAACATGTATGTCTGTTCTAGGTCTATGATAAAAAGCTGAGTTTCCATTCTACTACTCTCACATTTTAAAACAGGCTGATAAGTATTTCGCACAAAACAAATAAAATTGAATCTGTAGAACTACAAAGTAACTTGAGAAAGTCAAAGCACAAATCATCTATAGGACAAAAAGTTCAATAGCATCATCAAACAACGACGTGTAGTCTACTCCATTCGCTTTTCCGATTGTATGTATGCTGACACCCATTCTGTTAACCTATAGTGTTTATTTTCTTACTAAAGAGCATTGAGTGTATCTTTCGCTAATAGATGACTGTCAGGCAAAAACGATAACAAATAAGTTTTCAGAATGTCTCGAATAAAATACACGACATGAAACGTGTCTTCCATCTAGCGAATTTAAAAATATTCGAGACACCTATCGTAAGAATGCAATTTGCCAAGCAGAAGCAAGTTCATGTACTCACCTGAAAACAAATTTTCTTGTTTAAAAATGATAAAACGGAGCAGTCAAACCTGTGATTGGAAATTAACTGTTTAGTGAGATGACCTGTTGTATCAGGTATTTAGGAATATACATCAACACTGATAAGACATCTGCTGAATGAACCTCAGGAGAGATGATGCCTGTTCAAAGTTTGACATACAATCCAATTCCTAGCAAGGACATAACACATGGATGCTTGTTCAAGCGCAGGAATTTTCAGTAATCGCAAAAAGTACCTGCATGGAAATGGAAATCACGAGCCCTAAAATTCTTGAGTATGTTTTAAAAGTATTCCGTATTTGATTTGAAACTGAGCTTAGTGTTTTCTTCTCTCCGGTGAGATCAAAATAACGACTGAACAATAGTCAAATCACACGCAGGTAACTCAATATATCAGTTTATCTAATTACAATGAGATGGCTAGGCTCATATACTATATTTTATGGGTTACTGTGTGCTCACACATTAAATGTCAGCTGCAATAATAACCCCCTAACATCTATGAACTTCAAGACCATGATACAGCGCTAGTTTATCAGTACACTAACTAGTAGCTTGAACAATGTAGAAAACAATCAGCTGTCTAGCCAACTTTCTAAAACTATCGATGGTGTTAAAGTCCTGGTGTTCCATGCCAAAATTAATCACAGTAGCAAAAATACTCTGATTTTTTTTACATATTAAATTTTATTTCAAATATTAGACAGTGATGCAGTGTTACCAACTAGATAACGATCCCAGCATAAATTATTGTTCATAGTCATATCGATTTAGTCACACACACACCTTTCTCTCCCTCTTCGCCTTGTTGTTTGTTGCTAATTTCCATAAGTCCTGTATAATTGCTGTGTCATTCAGACTGCATGAGTGGTGCTGAATCTCTCAGAGATACACTTTGTCGGCGTAAGGATCCATTAGATTCAATTAAGAGAAATAATACAGTTTACCGAATACAATGTAATGACTGTGAGGTCAATTACATAGGTCGAACTAGTAGACTGGAGTCAATTAGGTCTTTGGAATATAAAAATTTAGATAGATCTAGAATGGTTGACCCTGATAAGTTGAATAACCTGAGAAAAAGCTCAGTCATTGCATTGCATTCACTTGCATGTAATCCCAAAATCGAATAGGACAGAGTGAGAGTATTAAAAAGTATTACAGTTAGGTGAAGAGAGAGGTTAATCACTGAATCTTTGTTTACTGATTCAAAATTGAACACGTGCAATCGGAATGACGCAACACCTATACCGGATATATGGAAAGTAGGAACAAACAACAAGGGGAAGAGAAGGGATATATATGTATATATATAAAAGACAAACTGTGAAGGTGTGTGACTAAATTGATATGTCTATGAACAATAATTTATGCTGAGGACGTCATCCAGTTGTTAACAGTGTATCACTGTGTGATATTTGAAATAAACTTATCTAATATGGAAATACATTGTAACACAATGCCCAAATTCTACACTTACATACTGATTCTTTATTATCAAGAATATTGATAACCATGCTTACTTTAACTTTTGCTATTTTCAAGACTTTCATCTACTAATATGTTAAAATGTCATGGGCATCTTAGTTTACTGTTCACACTAGTGCAAATCATGACATCAGTGGGATATCACAACACAGGATACCTTTATAACTGAGGAAATATTTTCAGAAATGTAGATGACGCACTTCAGTTCGAAATTATTTTGACCTTCAAAAGTAGCATGAAAAATGAAAGCTTGTTTTTATATGAACTCATTAATCAACCTATAAGTTTGTAACGCCCAACACTGTAACAACATAAACCTTGAATTTCACATATACTCGACACCAGTTCACAAGAGTTGCACGTAAGAAATTTAGTCATAGTTTAACTATTATATGAATGCAAATACTATAGTGAGAACCTTACAATGAAATGAAATTGTGCAAGCTGTTTTACTATGGTGCAAAAGATAAAACGACTCTCGAATATCTATACAACACAATGGTGTACAGGATTCGGAGTGGTTTCATATTCTGAGGAAATACATTGTAAGGTATGGATTCAACCTAACTGATAATTAAATAGTGGATCGTTTACAATTTAATGAAACAGCCGATGAGAAATGCTCCAGGAAGTGTGCCAAATAGGGGTAGTAAATCTTTACCGCCGGATATTATCAAAAGAAACAAAGTAAGAGTTATCTGGTCAAATAACACGGGTGAAAAACAATTTCCACGAAAAAGACGAAGTGTCACCAAATTACTGAATAAATTATCTGTGAGATTAATTTTATATAAACGTATGATAATTAATTGAAGACCTAAGTTGTACTGACTCAGGACCATCCCACGTGACTGCAGTCAGCCAAAGCTTTTACACTGTCACGCAAACCTTACCGATTGCGTATGGTAGAAACACTTTAATGAGACTGTTCGCGCTTATTTCTGATTTACCATATTTCACCACTTTTGAATTTACGTTGCTCTCTGCCTTAATTCAGACTAAAATTCATAGCTTTAATGATGTTTCTGAAGAATAATGATGGGTACGTACTTTTTCGCTCGATAAAACCACAAGATATTATTCAATTCTGCATAAAGTAGTAACTTATTATCACTTGAAAGTTTAATATGTTATAAAATGTCCCAAAACTTGTACAACTATCTGCATTGGAATTGATAAAGAGAATGGGAAAATGCTCTCTTCTGACTGAGTTAATTCGTAACTAGCAAACAGCTGCGCATACGTTGCATCAATGATCAAATATATGTCACGAAAAGTTTCCATTAATGTGGCTAATCATCACGAAAGGCAGAAGTGTAGACTTATTTCACTGTCATTAATCTTACTGTTATCAGCTTCTCCCAACAGAGCACATAATGCTAGCACTTCGTGTTGTTGTTTCCAAAACAAATTTACATTTTTATATTATTGCAGATGGCAAAGATTTGCATAGAACAGTAACTTGCTCCATTCGTGTTGGAGATTGATTTAGGTTATACCAGAATTATTATCATATATAAATAAACCTAATAGGCAGAGCTCTCCTAAACTATACTCTTACAAAATGCCATAAGATACGGTGAAACCATAAGAGATTTGATTGTCATATCCCCTGATGCATAGAAGTGCGACAGTTTCCAACTCAGTTACGCCAGACTAAGTATTTTAATTAACTGTATAGGGACATGCCCAAGAATACGAAGAGTAATTTTTCCCATCTACGACAATGCACAGTACGTTATCAAAACACGACGGTGGAACAACTAGACATTATTATAGCTGATATTTGGATCCGCGAACTATTGTGAACAACCTAATGACTGTAAGCTTCTGGTAAATATTCAAAGTCATTGTTCGCAGGAATAAGTCACTCCGTTTACAAGTTAACTGCTGATTAGGGGTCACCACAAACCCACAATAGTGTACTGGAAATACGTGTGATTTTTATTGGTAGTAAAACGGCAATAAAAACTCTAATGTGAATTAGGAATCACATATATTTGAATAAAACAGAAAAACGGAAAATCTTTAAATATATGAAAAGATAAGGTGATACATTGCTCAGTACCGATATTTAGTGGAATAGTCCTTTGGAGAAACAACCAAACCTCTGCCTTTTCTTGCACCTCTGTACACAGTTTCGACAATATCTATAAATTCCTGTCCATCCTCAATGGGCCAGTTAATCTTATTGTTGTTACCAGTCCCCAAGTCGATCATAATATGCTTATTGCGATAGAAGAACATAACAGTACAAGGATCGTAAAGCTCGTACATCTTATTAAAGTCAGGGACTTGTGTTATATCAACCAAATACATAACAGCAAAATTTTTTACTTTCTCAGCAATCTTAAACAGCGTCTCATCCATTACCATGCAAGAGGGGTCCCAATCATGACCAAAGCGAATGACTACAACTCTGTCCTCTTCCGACAAAATTGCCTGATCTACCTGCCATCCATTTGTTAAATGAGAAAGCATATAAGACATGTTTACTCTGTTATAAATAAAAAGTACGAAATAACCTCCGAAAGTTAAGGTCGTCGGACACCATCCAATACCCAATATCCAATATCCAATATCCTGATGACGAGCTAGTATAAACCAGTGATTTCTTTGAGCTCGCTTCTTGATTGTGAGGTAGAGGTTCCAGATCTTCGGTGAGCTTCTGCGTAGTAAGTCCCGACACTCGACTGCTTTAGCTCTGGTAGACTCCAGGAGGAGTGGTGCGGGGATTGGTCGAGATGTGGTTTGTAGTATGCAGTATGTTAGGACTGTATTGCTGCCGTGAATGGAGTTTGACCTAACTCCCCTTGGTCATTCGGTGTAGTCATAAAAGCAGAATAGTAATAATAATAATAATAATAGGTTGTAGTGTAGATAATATAGGTTGAGATAAGTGGAATAATAAAGGTGACATAAGGAAAAGACAGAGTGAGAGAAGGCAGAATAGGTCGTGGGGATTTAGTTAGTACCCTTATTCATTGACAGTTTGGTTTCAAATTTTATGAGGATAAGCCATTGAGACACAAACCTTGCATTTCTGCATGATTGTCTAGCTTCCGCTTAAAAATCTCCACAGATGGCGCTGTAGTCACGGCCGCCGGTAAAGCGTTCCAGAGACGGCAAACACGAAGCGAAAAGAAATGTGATCGCACTCGAGTCTTTGGTCTCTGGTGTGCTATCCTTAGCGGGTTACCTCGTGGAAGCCTATAATCGCTTAATGGCAGGATGCTTTTATTTGGGTGGGCCTGGTCATTTAGGATCTTGTAGACGGTGATGAGGTCTCCCCTGTGCCTACGGTAACTGAGTGTGAAAAGACCCAATTTCTTTAGTCTTTCCTCATATGATTTGTTGCGGAGGCCGATCACCCATTTTGTCGCTCGTCTCTGGACACTTTCTAGAATGTTAGCATCCCTTTTGAGTAGCGGAGGTGCAATGATATTATGCACCTCAAGGTGTGGCCTCACATATGCCTTGTATAGCCTTAAGAACAGTTCGGGAGTGAGAGCTCCCAGCTGCCTGTGCATAAAGTGTAATGTTGCGTAGGCTTTGGCGACGTCCCTCGAGTAATTTCCACTGGTGTCTAGCTTTTCTGTTAGAATAAGACCTAGATCACGCTCTGATGGAACACAACTCAAGTTCTGGCCACCAAGGGTGTAATTTACACTCTGTGACCTTCCGGAATGAAGCTGCACTACTTTGCACTTCTTTAGATTGAAAAACATTCCGTTAGCCAAAGCCCAATTTCCCAGAGTTTGCAGGTCAGCCTGCAATCTATCTGAGTCTTCCGATGAGTTTATTGCTCTCCAAATCTTTACGTCGTCAGCGTAAAGAAGCGCAGAGCAGTTTAGTTGGGGGGCAGGTCATTGATAAAATATCGACTTCAAAAGCTACTATAACATACCAACAAGACTAGTCGGAAAATGAGAATTTTTATCAATCCAGAAAACATATAACATGATTTTATTAAAACTTATTCACAAAATAAGTTTATCAATCAGAATTTCAACCAACATGCCGGGTAGGTCAAGCCACTATAAACCAAGAAAACATTTCTTTGCTGGATTATTATTGGTCAGAGAAGAGTTTTCAAGATTTTTGTGACTCAACTGGTGGGTTACTTCACATTTTCTTTATCGTAAATATAGTTGAACAACTGCAAAGTGGGAGGGAGGGGAAGATCATAAGCTGTGTAAAAACAGTGGTCCTATTGTAGTCAGAGTCATTTCTTTCTCCAGGAAATCACCCTGATAGGTTGAGGACATGCAATAACAGTAATCTAATAATATTATAATTTTAAAAAGGGTTCATAATCAATCGGCGTGCAAATAAGTGGAGGCAAAAGGTCTGTGCGTCAGGTATGATAAGGAGAGCGAATCTGAGGGAGACATTAGAGTGACCAATTAAAGTCAGTAGATGATATCACTAGCTAAGCGTTATGTGATGAATATGTGCCGATTTATTTGGTTTTACTGTTATTTGAACACAGTCGCAGTGCTGCTACATGACCAACTTACAGCAATCTGCAACATTAGGCTAACAGTATAGCGAGTGAGGCTTCCAGCAGTGACCAAAGTGAATAGATGTGATGTAGTTTACGATAAAACTAAAATACCCAGAGTAATTTTAATGCTACCATATGTTCGGTAGTCTAGATGGACCCGAAAATCTGTCACACAGCCTAAGCCAGCTAGTTCCACCTTATTTGTATTATATATTTTTTTATATCTTTGATTACAGCTTCATTCCACACCGTATTTTTTGTACGAGTATGGAATTTTCAGCATGGATATTGGTGGACCAAATTTCGCAGGCCGACCATAGATATCATGTGTGCGTCTGTGTGGGCTCGAACCCCGAACCATGTGCATGGTCGTCAAAAGTTCTAACCACTGTGCTACCGACGCACAGGAGGCGACAATCGCTGCCGCGTCTTTAATTTTAAGTTGGCAATCAAAGGTTTGTACAGTTAACCTTTAAAACTTCGTCTACTGTTTGTTGATACGCAAGTCTTTGACTTTCCCTTCATTACTTTAATAATACTCCCTGAATCTGAGTTGGTTAGTGAATGCACAAATCGTATCCAGAATTCTGGTGAGTTGCCCTCTGGCAATGGTTGTAAATCCTGGCGGCGACTTTTATACCCTATTTAGCTTTGGCTGGATTGGCAAGCTTAATTTCCGTGTGCAATGTTCAACGTACCAACGTTTGGTGTTCGCCTATCGACTAATAAGGCCTTATCCAACTGAAAACGATTGAACGCAATCCAAAGCGCAGATTAGCATCACAAAAGACATATGCTAATTAACGGAAAACCCCTAATGTCATAAGTGATATCCTAGACCTGACAGCTGATGAAGTGATGTGGAGGTACTTGTGTGACATGCAAAATTAGAACTGTACACCTAGAGCTCGATATAGTCACTTCAGCTGCTATGTGCGGGCTGTCTTATCCACTGTATATGGCCGCACTATGAGCAGCAACTGCAGCTGCTCCTGGAATAAGGCAGCAGTTAATGGACGACAGCAAAGAAACGTAATCCGGCAAGTTGTATTGAGCATAAATGCACGGAACGGGAAATAACCCTACTGACAAAAATGTCCTTAATGACCAAAGTGACCAAATTGGCCAAATACCGTCTGTGTAGAAGATCAAGGAAAGTCGTCAGTTAAATTGAATTTCTCCCACTTCGCGTTCAATTCATGTATTTGTACTGCGTTAATCTCACTGATGGAAGTTTGGCTTTCAAGGGACAGGAGCACGGTTACAGCCTTGTCGCCTGATTGTGTATCTCTACACTCTCCTCACACGGTCGTTAGCAAATACAAATAGAAGTGTACGGTATGACGAATAGCAGTTGGATGGGTAGACATTTCGATGCTATGCATTTTAACCGTTAACCTAGGCCCAACCTCTTATATCCAGGAACATATGGTAAATTTTCCAGGTGTCCCGAATCACTGGTACGACCCTTGGCACCTAGGACCACCTCATTGCTCTCCAACCCCGATGTACAGACACCCAGTCCGACCCCCTTTCATTCATAAACTCTTGCGGTGCTGACGCACAAATAGATTTAGGTTATGGTGACATTTTAAGCCAGTTTGTAGTATCCCGTGACTTATTCACGATATTGCTAATTAATGCACGTTCCTTAATCAATAAGATATCTGAACTAAGGACATTATTATTAGTCGCCAAGCCTACTGTAGCTCTGATTACTGAGTCATGGTGCTCATCCTCTGTACTTGATGTGCATATAGGTATCGATGATTACACTGTACACCGTGCAAACAGAGATTGCAAGCGTGGTGGAGGATGTCTCATATATATACATAACTCATTTGTAGTCAGTAAGGTGGAAGATGAAACAATGAATAATGTACCTGACTCACTCTGGGTTGTCTTACATGGAGATAAGTACAAACTTCTCATAGGCTGTGTTTATCGAGCACCAAGCTCAACAAAAGAAACTGATGCGTTATTAGCTAAATCGTTTGCACACGCATCCTCGTTTAGTGCTAATTACAAAATAATTGCAGGGGACTTCAATCTTCCAGAAGTCAATTGGCTAACTAGTTCCGGCCCCCAACGCTTCGACGAATTACTTGCCACTATAGACTGTTATGGATGGCAACAACACGTCCAGACACCTACTCGTGGTGACAACATGTTGGACCTTGTTTTTTGTCATGACACAATCCCAGTATCCACTATGTTGGTAATAGATTTTCCAGTAGTGACCATAGAATGGTACTCTGCTCTCTGCCTTTCTCACCACTAAATACAGGAAACAAACAAGATTCAGGAAGCACAATATGTCGTAGTTACAAATATACAGACTGGGGATTAGTCCAAGAACTTATTCGACTCTGTCAATGGGATGACTATTTTACCACTGACTCCCTGGAGGCCTTAGTAACCCTGTTTTACAGGAATGTTACCCTTTGTCTAGATACAGTTGCTCCAAAGAAAATAGTGAAATTAAGTAGACACCGAACTGAATATATTCCAAGGGCACACCGTAATAAGTTAAGGAAGCTGAAGAAACAGTACTATTCCACTAAGGATATATCACTATTGCTCTCAATCCACGAGTCTCTTGAATCTATCAAGCGCCTACGCTCTCAAAAGGACCTCGACGAAGAGTTAACGGCACTTGAAAGTACCTCCAAAGTTTATAACTTAACGGCACTTCTTAAAAAACGAATGCAGTCGGCGAGGGAAATCCCATACTTACTTCACGACAAAGTAATCTACAATGAACCTGCCACTATCTGTGAACTTTCAGTGATTGGTTTGCAAACTTTAGTTTAGAAACACATATGCCTGGTGAAACCGCCCCCCTTACTAGCTCTTCCCTTGAAAGCATTGTGTTCACTAATCAATTAATAGTACAAGCAATTAAAAGCCTTAAACCTTCCACTAGTACGGGACCGGATGGCCTCGCTTCGATAATTTTCAAAAACAGTGGGTGTGATATACCCTTGTTACTTCTTAAATTCTTCTCAATATCTATGGACACTGGCACTTACCCTAGTGAGTGGAAAACTAGCTTCATAATTCC